CTTCATGTTTGGAACATCCATCCAAACTGTGGCAATGTTCTCATGCTCCCGCGTGCGGGTGCCAGCCCCTCCTCGGATGCTCATTTCCAGGGAACTTGGGGTGGCAGTGGGAGGAGCCCCACCCAGGGCTGAGGCTGTTTCTTCCACCCGTTGGAGGTTAGCAGGTCACAGGGCCGTTTAAGGACCCACAGAGAGAGGCTGGGAACTCTCCTGGGAATCCTAGTCACCAAGACTAGTCACACTGACCTGCACTAGGTCAGGTGGGACGGCTGGCAAGGTCCCAGGGTTAGCAAAGGGCTTGGACCATGAGGGTGGGGGAGGGCGGCCTTCTCTGCAGCAGGCCACGTGGAGCAACGCTTTCCAGGGTCTGATGCAGCAGCAGGGGCCGTGCCAAACAGACTTCACTCGGGCCTCCTCTTCCAGGAGGGGATGAGACGCTCCTCGCCGGGCTGGGAGCAAGTCCCATTTCCCACCCTGACTCTGAGGTCATCCGCTTCTCCTGAGAAAGCCTGGGGTTCTGGCCTTGGCTGTTAGAAACAAGAGCAGAGACCTGGGGCAAGGGGAGGCTCGCTCTCTCTGGGTCTTTCTGGTTTAGGTGACTGCCTGGGGAAAATCCTTCTTGACTCGACACACAGGAGACCGGAACAGAACTGACAGAGGGGAAGAAAAGTGAGAAAGTGGGAGAAAGTCAGGAGAAAAGGAATAAAGGAATGAAAAAAAGGGGGGGGTGGAGGGAAACAGAGGGAGGAAGGGGGAAGAGAGGGAGGAAGGAGGAAGAGAGAGAGAAAGAGAGAGAACACTGCATGTACAGTGTGAGCCTGTGTGCACCCAGGAGGGGTCCTGTAGCAGCTAACACTCACTCACACTTGCCTGGGATGGTTTTGTCATCAACTTGACCTGCCTGGCCACAGTCTAACTTTCGAGGCATCTGGGATGTGACTGACTTGAACCAGAGCCAGGCTTCCAAGGACTCCAGTGACACTCGAGCTTCACCCTGCTCAGGTGCCTGCAGTGGCTCTCTCAGGAGACCTTCAAGGGGTCCAGACACGTGGAACTGTCACCGTGCACCAGATGACCACCCTGGACCATCATATACACCACAACCCTCAGCCATGACTCTAGAGACATCAACCACAGGGACCCCATCTCCAAAACGTGCTAAAAGACACACCATCCAACTCTGCCACGACCGCCGTGGCCCAGCCACACTGCATTGGGTATTCGAGCAATAGGTGTGACGTTGCGTGGTACTTGCTGCTTCTGCCTAAGGTCTGCCATGTCACCACTCTTTATTTCCTTCCACTCATGCAGGAAACTGCCGAGCAGAAACCACAGGGGGCCTCTGTTAACAGCGGTACCTGATGGTGGTGTCCATCTTCATGTCTTCAAAACACATACTAGAAAGGGATGCCACAAAAGGCCTGACAAGGACAACGGCAGGAGACCTTCTCAAGCTCATAAGAAGTCTGGGATTATAAGGGAGAATATTTGCCCCCAAGGAGACCCAAGAGCATGAAGATGAAGATATTACGATGCCCCAAGCAAACCCCCCACTCAACAGGTCCCAGCCCCGATGTCAAGGACACCCTGCACCCTCGCAGAGTTCCTTCCCAAAGGACTAGATTTGAATTTTAGTAAATCAGCTCAATATGTTCTAGGACTGTGGGTATTAAATAAAAGAAGTCAGTGAAATCTCCAAACAATAAGCTCATTCAACACAATCTTTTTTTCTCCCCCCATCTGGGGACTTGAATACAGTTAACATGAATAAATCCTGTTGTGTAAAAACTGGGGGAGAAGAATGGGGAGGGTGGAGGATGGAAGGAAATGGCAGGATTCCCACTTGTTGGCCTAAGAGGAAGGCTAAGACAGTCCCCAGAATCCCCCCAAAATGCCAGCTTGCTGGGGTAGACCAGGGAGATGTAGCAACAGTTTGCAGCTGAGGTAAGGAAGTATCTGGGATTTTCTGGTCCGTGCACTCCCAGCCTCTCCCCTACAGCCATCAAACTAGAGCCAGACTAGTACTCAAGCTAGAAGTGGGCCCTTGGGCTGCCCCAAACCTGGCCCTTCCTAGATGCACCAGCCACAAGATAGGCCTGACTCCACATCAGGACATTTCCCTTCAAATATGCACAAAATATATTTCAAACCGCTATCCCCCAATAGAGTCACGCCAATCAGAAGTAAGGACTGCAGTTATCCTATTATCACTCTGCTATTATTCGGCAGTTCTTCCTGAATACCCCAAAACAGGCGGGACAGACCTGCCTTTGTAGGTGACTAGAGGCCTGGAACATCTGTGATTAAGAAGTACTGCATGGGTGAAATTCTCCTGTGTAATTCATGGTTCAAAGTGATCTGGGCCCATATGGTCCTCATGGATGGAAATTCTACAGTCTTCCAACCAGCAGTACTCAAGGAAAATGAGAAGACACAGGTCCAGCTCCCTGGGTCACAGAGCCAGGCAAGTTGATCTGCAGAACAAGCCATCGACATGGGTTTTGAGTTTTTGACAAATGGAAATCACCGAGCTATTCGGCCTCCGTTAGGACCACCAGAAAGGTACTTCCTCATTCTCGTGGGATTCCGTATCCCATCTCCTGGTCTGGTGAGCAAGGGCTGGTGCTGCCCAAGCATCACAAGGCTCTTCCCTGCCTGGAAACACGAGGGCTGATCCCTTACTTGACATGGGACTAGATGCATTATTCTGCTAAATCATGCGTTCTCCCTTCTCAAAATCAATCCTAGCTAGCATAGACATGCAGGGCCCCCAAAAACAAAAGGTCAGCCAGGAAATAATCATGGTAGACTTGGGTACTCAATTCTGATTCAATAATTTTATTGGTTAAAATAAAAAAAGCAAAAACTTGCAGCAGAAAGACTGCCAAAGTCAATACATTAGATCCATGTGTGTGCAGAATGGTTCCCAGGGTGGGAACCCAGAGCTAACGCTTCAATATCCCATGACCCTCCTGGGGACATCTGCTGCCTGGGTTTTAGGAGAACTGCCTTTCTTTTTGTCTAAATAGAGGGACAGCTTGACCATCAACCTGTTGGTGCTTCACAGAAAAGCCTCTTGCACTTGAGATACCGACACATGGTTGGTCTTTTTGTTTTGCACCAAAATTCTTCACCCTCTTCTGCTGCACCCTGAGACGGCTGTAAACACGACCACACCAAGACCTCAGATTCTATTTACAACCTGTGACGGCAATCGGGCGCTTGATGTGATGCTGTGGTGCGTCTTCCTCTTGCACCACCGCATCACAAACGGCCGGGGTTTGTTTTACCATCAGCTTTCCGATGTATCATTTGTAGAGAAAAATCCCACCAAAACTAAAAGCTGTCCTGTTGATGGTACGGCTCGGAGTTTTCACACACAGCTAGAGCTGCGTAACCACCACCACCATAAAGGTTTGAAAAAAGAAGATTCCTATCATTCTAGAAATTTCCCTCCTGCCCCCTTGTAGGTGAACCCCTTGCCCCCACCCCAGCAACTACTGACCTCTTTCCTTTCTGACGGTTTTGCCTTTCCCAGAAAGTCACAGAAGTGGAATCGCACAGCGCGTCGGCTCTTAGAGTCTGGCTTCTCTCACGTAGGACGCTGGTGTGTATCACTCATGCTTAGTTATGTACTGCGAGTTTTTAAACTTTGGACTTTTGCTTTCTTGTCAAAGAGGCAAAATAATTGGCTCTAGTTCATCTTTGCTGTGGAGAAACCACAGTCTTGATTTAGGGCCTTTTAATAAAGCTGAGGCCTGGGAACAGGGTGACCTACCATCTCCGTCTGCCTGGGACTAAGGGATTTCCTAGGACTTGGCACTTTCGGCGGCAAAACCAGGGAAGTCCTGGGCAGACTGGGACAGTCAGTCACCCGTCCTTGGGAAAGCCACCTCCAAGGGCAGGAACGGACCCGCTCAGATTCCTCGTGGGAGCGGCAGGTTGCTCTCCCTGAGCCAATGGTTAACCATCCCTCCTTCATGTAACCATGAGCAGAAGGCCACCGCGCAGTCGGCTGGGGCTGAGCCCATGGGCAGAGCTCATCACTCTCAACAGGCCTGCCGCTGTCTTGATGTCCCGGGAGGGGCCCGAGGAAGTGACCAGAGAACTCAGGGGTCTGTTTAGAAAACAACAGAGCGGGGCTTGTGTGGGTGTCGGCACCCCTGCCCACCCCACCCCAGTATTTAACACCCATGGCGAGGTGGGACGTGAAAACACACCGGGCTCCTTCTGGTTTGCATCAGGGCAGTGCATTCAAGGCACCCTCAGCTCCTACTTTTTCTGTACATCCTCCCAACTCCTCCCTCTCGGTAGGGTTTTTCGTTAGTTTGTTTTGAGACTAACTAGGGAGAAGGTGAGCCAAGTGACAGAAAATTAGTAAAGAGCTTGAAGTTCTGGTTAGAATTTAAGGGCCTCTCCTATGAGACATCAGAGACACTTCTTGCCCATCACCTTTCCAGCTGACCTCGAGGGGACGACACAGATGCTCCGAGAAGCTAGGCTGCCTGAGCATCTCTAGCTCAGGGCTTCCAATACCTTCGAAAAGCAGGTGATGAGCATGCTTTGGGGCATAATTTGGGTGCCCAGATTAACTGAGGACCCCCACACCCCATCTAAGAAGGCAGGAATTGGTGGGGTCAGAACCATGTCACAGAGGTTTCAGGTTATCTGCTCCCCTGAGTTAATATAACACTGCCCCTTACGAATACAGTCCAGTCGTTCTTACAAGTTATTCCACCAAACAGCAGTTAGTAATCATTATCCTCACTTGTACAGATGAGGAAACAAGGCCCAGAGACATTAATTGACTTGCCCAAGGTCGCACAGCGAGTTAGAATTAGCAAAGGCCAGATTAGAACCCTGAGCCCCGGAGTGCCCAGGCTGGCGCCCAGCTCCATGAGATCCCTGAGCCATCGGTCCAGAGCATGGGCAGAGCCAGGTCTGCGCCCTCGGGAGGCTGGGTGAGCGGCTGCAGAGGGCACAGGCAGGCTCATACTCACAAGCAGAAACCTGCAGCATCCTTCTCTGTACCACCAGACAGCAACACCCCTGTGCTGGAATAGATAGAAACAAGGCTCAAGTCGGGAAAGCCAAGGGCAGCCACCGTGGGCTGACATCTCCACTTCGGAATCTGGCTTTGAGATCATGCCTCACTTCCCTTTGTGAACCTGGCTCTCAAGGGCCAGGACCCGGGGGAGCATGTGCTCCTGTCACCTGGAATTCATTCATTCACTCATTCCCCCATCATGTGCCAGGCACTTACTATGTGTCTGGCAGTGCGCTAGGGGCTGAGGGGGAGGGATAAATGGAGGAGAAAGACAATCCTGTCTTGAAGGAGTTTCAGGGGAAACAGAGACAGATATTGATAAGACAGTGTGACATTAATTCAACAAATATTTGTTAAGCACTTGGGATGTGATATGCCTAAAACAGGGAGGGAACACAGAGCAACTCAGGGAAGGCTGCCTGGAAGAAGAGACATGTGGACTAGGTCCTAAAGACTGAGGAGCATTTCACTGAGTAGCCGGTCCCTTCTTGGCTAAAGGGACACTAATAAGGAATGAGTCTGAAATTGCATTGAGCACTTCTCTCTAAATAAACCCCTGCCGTTATCAGAACAGGTAATCTACCCTTTCAAAACACAGTTCTCAGGGATATCTTCTTATCTTATTTCTGATTTTGAGCTGTGGCCTAATCTCTTTGGGCCTCAGTCGACCTGTCTCTCAAATGGGAGTGAATAACCCTGTGTTTCCATGGGTGGCTCTGGGCTTTGCTAACAATCTTGGGAGGCACGGTTACACAAAAGTCCTTGAGGAACAAATTCCTTGCATGACCGATGGCATTCTCTTTCCCACTAAGGCTGCTGCTCCCCACTCTCAACAGGAAATTGGTTTTATTTATAAGAATCACAATCCTAAACTGACCTTTGCTGGGCTACCCACATGCCCGCCCTCCTCAAGACACATCCTCCTTCCAAAGATTCCTAAGTGACCACAGAGCAAGGAGCATTGATGAGTGCTCAAAGCCGGGTGGACAGACAATGGAGGCTGTTTTCTAGATGGGGAAACTGAGGCCCGGAGAGCT